TTTAAAAGTAAATGTTAAAAAAACACAGTTAAACATCGATTTTTGAGTGTCACGTGTTATGTTCTAATGTAAAACTGATTCAAATTAGTTATTTGTGATGTCAAAATACTAAATCTATAATTTCGTACGAATTAGGAACTCAGATTACCCATATTGACAAGCTAGAATACAAAATAAGAACCTTGTATCTTTTCTATTTGCTGAGATATCACTCATGTACTAAATCAAACACAGTGGCCCAGCTCACCTCTTTCCATTTTTGGAAACGGCCCCTTATATACACTTACTTCAATATGTGACATGTAAAAATCAATCGAAAGCTCAGAATGCCCGCCTAGTGGCTTTCTCAGCCTTTTTCATGTGTTAGGATGCCATCTTGTTCTTTCGTTTCAAGATTTAAAGGAGGTAGGTTGTGTCTTTAGTGCGCTCGAAATTTCATATTTTTTTGGACCCAAATACAGCTTAGTTATTAAGCTTCATAAATTATAGAGGAATTTTTTGGTATCAATACAGTAATTTATGATTTTTTGGTTATTCAACTGTATATATATAAAACCTAAAAAAATTATTTTGTTTCATATCCTTCATGGGCGAAATTTTAAAAGGCTTAGCAATTTATGTGAAGCAGCAACCAAGTACAAAGATCATAACTAGAAGAGATAATTGTTTGCTTTACTTCTTTATTTACTGTTCTATGTTTGAATAAAATAAGTTTAAGAACTTATTTCTAAATAGTAATTATCTATATACATACATAATGTATAATAATGGAAATGTGACTGCATTTTGCAAAATACTAGTCTACTAAAACACAGCCAAGACGTCACTTTGTAAAGACTAAAGGTCAGTTTTATATTATTGGATATGGTAACATGAGAGCACATGTGCTGCATCATTGTAACTTCTGTATTGTTAGCCAGGCACAGCTGAAAGGTCAATATAATAAAATTGTAAATATATATATAAATGTATAATGTTATGAGATTTGAGCTGTTTAGTCTAAACATTTATGTTTTTGTGTTATAATTTGCTGTCATTCTAGAACGAAAGAGAAATAATTTATATATATTTCCTAATTGTTTATGGTGGTTACAAGATTGGTCAAATCTACTGAACCCGTAGAGATTTGTTAGTGAAAATAACAGATAACATCTAACGTTTTTTTCTTAAGAAACATTTGATAATTATCTGGAGGTTATAAAGATTTTGCATGTGAAATTTGAAAATGAAATCTTAAAATGACAATTACTTTGCATGTTGGAAAGCAAATAAATAGTAATTAATAATTTCTTTAAAGCTTATAAAAAAAATTTATTTTAAACCAAATTCTTTTTTAGATTTACCTTCTGTATGCTATTCCTAAACTGCATAGATCCCTGATTACATTTAGATTTATTTTGAAAACAATTATTAGATAACTAGACATTTCATTAAATAAATTACATAATATTTTATTTGATAAAATTGAAAATATTAATAAAAATAAGAAGAAACACTCGTTTTGGATAGTAAAAACTAATCAATCTATTTTAGAATACTTAGATAACGGTGAACAAGTAAAAAATATTAAAACATTTGATTTTACCACTCTTTATACGACAATTCCACTGAAAGATTTAATCTCAGTTATGAATTCATTAATAGAGCAATACTGTAAACCTTTCATAGTATTAGAAAAAAGAAATTTTACCTCTAAAATAATAAAAGATATATTAAGTTTAAACAAGTAATAGGAGTTCCAGTGAGAGTTAACTGTTCTACTTTTATAGCAAATTTGTATCTTTATTTACCGATACATTACGTTATCTTTTATCACAGATATAGCTATTTTCGTTTAGTGCTGCCCTCTATATGCAAAAATGTTTTTGCATGCCTCAAGCCTTGAGCTCCCACATACCTCATGATCAACATGGTTCAACTGTCTCGCATGTAAATCAACATGCAACAACCCTCCACCAGTAGGAATGCAACACACCCTTCTGATGCATGTGAATCCATCTATTCAATTCTACCAAACTCTCTTTTCATCCGGCAGTTCTATCATCAAGACGTTTTTCATTTGTGCTCTCTTATCACTTTTTTAAATTTTATTTCATATGAAGTGGAAATATTTTTCTATTTTTTTTCTCCTACTTCACTTTAACAGTTTAAGTGATCACTTACTTTTATTGTTTTTCACATTTATTTTTGTTTTCACAAAGTTTTTATTTCCTTATTTGAAAGGGATGTCATACAC